CAACAAACTGCTTAAATACTTCATGTTAAGCAAAGTCTATGTTGAAGGATACCGTCGTTGCATCTGCACGTGGACATGTAAACATACAGGTTGACCTACATTTAAATTGTTCTCTACATTTAAATTCTCACATAACTTGTTATTTAGTTTCATACATGTCATTAATTCTCGTTGTTGTTGTTGTTTGTGGTGCTTGCTGTTGTTGTTGTTGTTGTTATTGTTGCTGCTGCTGTTGTTGTTGCTATTATTATTATTGTTGTTGTTGTTGCTATTGTTGTTGCTATTGTTGTTGCTTTTGTTGTTGTTGTTGCTGTTATTGTTGTTGTTGTTATTGTTGTTGCTGTTGTTGTTGCTGCAAATATAGAAATCGAATATACCGTGTTTAATTTTTAAATTCATGGAAAAACTTATCCTGGATCTTAAATGCCATTTGTCATTGAACAATGATGCAAATTTATAAATAACATACATGCCTTTACTTCGGTCAAAAACCAAATAAAGATAAAACTACGGAATAATACAAGCCCATTGCATGACATGAGCAATAATGAATCGATCAAAATTAAAAAACCCAATATATTGAGCAATAAAAATAAACTCTTAAACTATGCTCTGCTACACATTTACAGCAAGCCTCTAATGCTGTCATTTCACAGAATTTTAAATAATTCATTTCTAATAGGTTTCAACCAGTTCAACCGAAATGAACCAATAAAACCACCTCATAAATTCATAGAAATATAATTCTTATAGAAAATGAATCAGTTTGCGATGCCCTCCGTACATATAAAATTAGGAGTCCGTGTTGAATGTCTCTTTAAATAAAGTTTCCAATAGTTCTAAAATCTTGGACACACAAAATGTCAGACAAACCCACTTTTGAGAGGACATCATCCGACATTAATTGAAGACAAAAGAGAAAAGTGCACGGTACATTGGAATGCAATTATTTTGAGAGATTATTCAAAATTAATGAGGAAAAATGGTCGGCCATAATATCCGTGTAGAACAATGGGCGATGACCGTTATATTGCACACCGAATGGTTCACTTGAAATAGTGATTTAAAATACCTCAAAGTTTGTTTTAAAAAAAACTCGGCATTCAAAACACTTTTCGGTGTTGATAGCTTTTGTGAAATTAAACTGGTTGAAACAGACTGCGTTGCATAAACTGTACCGCAATATTTGGCATAGTGTAGCACTGCCGCAATTTTACAAAATGGATGATTCCAATAGACCTTTCCCCTTATAACCAAAATTTTGATCTAGGCAAGTGTAGACAAATATTTCATCACAGCTTGAAAGAACATCACAAAATTAGTAATATTCCAAAGTTTCGTTGCGAAATGTTGTAAAATGAGGAAAATAGAGCCTTGCCGTTTTTCAGTCATTTTGCATTACAAACGGGAAATTGCAGCCCCAACACCCGAATCGGATGTTAATTCCGTTTGTAATACAAAATGACTGAAAAACGGCAAACTTCGCAAGGCTATATTATCCGCATTTTACAAGATTTTGCAACAAAACTTTGGAATATTACTAATTTTGTGATGCTCTTTCAAGCTGTGATGAAATTTTTGTCTAGATCGAAATTTTAGTTATAAGGGGAAAGGTCCATTATAGACAAAATTTTGATCCAAACAAGGACAAAATCTATCATTATAGACCCATTGCACTGGACGTCACAGCGCCAGTAACGATGCATCTGGAGGACAAATTGGCAATCTACGCATAATATAACTTTTGTAAACAAAGCAAATTTTGTAAAAGTTTATAATAATTTTGTATTAAAATGGTTAATTTTTTCGCTGTATGTGGTCGTTGTACCCGAACAGATATTGTTAGGTAGCATCTGGAGGACACTCTAAGGATTTGTGACTTCAGTGCAAAGGGTCTATAGCTTTAAAGAACATCCTTGATTAAATTAGTAAAACTGCCAAATTTGGTTGCAAAATGTTGTAAAATACGAGCCGAAAGTGGTGCATTTTTCCGCACGTAATACTAAAATACTCAAAATTACTAATTTCACAGGGCTATATTTTTCATATTTACAACATTTCACAACCAAACTTTGCAATTTTACTCATTTTAACATGCTCTTTCCAGCTATGGTAATGGTTTTCGTTCTTCTTGCCTAGATCAAAATTTCGTCTATAGGTGGAATCATCCAAGTGCGGTTATAAAGTCGCAACAAACTAGTAAACACGGACAGCAGGTGGTACAGTGGGACATTCAGCGTCATTTAGGGTCTCGTCTATTACAGCACGGTATTCAAGCGTTACCTAAAATAAAACAAAAAAATTTCAACTAAGTTACAAGTGGACAAATATCGAAATTTTGGGCATCTTGTTCGATACAATATAGCAAAAGTACAATACTTAAAGTTAGCTACAAAATATGAGGTAGAGCGTCAATATATAGGAATATAATTTATGAATAGTCTATAATGTCTATTTACAGGGTTAATATTTCGTTACGATTGAAAAATGGGAGTAGCAATTTTCTCTTGAAAAGATGAGAAAGGGGTATATATCTACAGTTAGCTACAAAATATGAGGAATGGTGTCAATATAGGAATATAATTTGCGAATATTGTCTATTGACAGGGTTAATATTTTGTTACGAAAAATGTGAGTAGCAATTTTTGTTTGAAAATATGAAAAGGATTTGCTCTCTCAAAACTCGTTTGGAATGGACTTCCATAGATGAGCACCGTCATACATAAAACTATTATTAATATCATTGGTTATGTGGTTGTAGTAAATATTTTCGCTTTTGCCTTTTTTCTCTCCTTATTTTAGGTGGGTCCCAGCCTAAGGCATGTAAAGCAATATAATTATCTATATTACTTTCTGTTTAACACAGAAACGAACTCAAGAAATATATATATTTTCATAACTCAAGAAATATATATATTAGAGCACGCTCACTGCTTGCAGTTTGAGCGCTCTGGCATGGTTTGATGTCCCACATTCGTGAGGCATCAAAGGTGACTGTAAATAGCAGTCACTTTCATCCTGCTCATCAGCACTACACTGATGAGGCCCATAAGGCCGAAACGGTACCGTCTGTAGTTATATGAGACACGAGAATAACTCGTATGCACAATTTTACTTACATTCTGTATTGTTACTTACTTTTCCAGTTTTATGATCTTGATATGACAAGGTGTGTTTGCGCCAGTGGTCACTGAGAGGCTTTGCTGTCTGCCCTTCTAGTGGTTCCTTATAGTTATATTCATCAACACGATCCTGGAGAATGACAAATTATTCATTTTATTTATATACATTGTAGTCACTACGTGTGTTCTAATTGGCCAATATAGCTTACAGCTCAATAAAGAAATCATCAGATAACAGTGTTACCTGCCAGCAACATGAAATCATGGCCGGATTTCGAGGGGAGGTGTGGGGACCCTGCCTACCTTCCCTGAGATTGTTTTCCACCTCCCTTCGAGAAAGGTTAAATGATAGACCAAAGTGAAAATTTGACAAAAGTATTGCTTAGGGTCTACACTTTGTACGAACGTTTTTCTGTAAAATTGGAACAGTGATAAAATCATCCATCTCTGTGTCAAGTACCCTTTAACGCAATGTTTCGAAAGAATGTAATGAACGGCAAAATTAGATGAGTTGTACAGTTATAATTAATAAATACACCGATACACGTATGTACAATACATGCATACGTCACGTGGTTGATTGATGTTAGAAGGGTACCGTTCTATGCTCTAACATTACATGGGGATCATCATTCGTAAGCTACAATCTTTGACAATATAGATTGGGACAACCTAGTTTTCACATGCATTCGGTTGTAATATACCATTTACTGATACATTTTTTCCACCCTCCCTCCCCCCACCCGTTTCAATGTTGGCGCCTCGCAACCAGGTATCAGATTTTTGTCGGCCCAACATTGAACTGGGGGAATGGGGGGCGCTACGCCTTTCAAATTGTGTGAAATTACAGCAGCTGTCCCACAGTTTTTGACAAAGATTGTAGACCGCTGCACATCTCCAAAATCTTTTTCCACCTCCATCACCATTTCAACCAAAATCCGACCTTGTATGTAAGACCCCGTCCTAACTTGAGACCGGTCTGAGTTATTTTCGTCCCAGTCTCATGTAAACATCTATTATAAATAATACTATGACCGAAACGAAGTGGTCCCGGTTTGACTTCGTCGTTCCGGTCCAGAGTCACTGTTCTGGTCTCATGTAAATGGGGCCTAATATATAGATCAGTGCTCGTTACCTTAAAATCTTCTCGCGCGTGCGCACCTCTGCTCTCCTCCCTCGCTTCAGCGGAGTAGATCGTCTGAGCGGCATTCAACATTAGATTCTGTAACTCCAGTGCTTCAATGAGATCAGTGTTCCACACCATTCCTCTATCAAATAATTTCAAATCTTCCAATTTCCCGTAGCAAGCATCTAGCTTCTCGCATCCTTCTCTCAACACTGGACCAGTTCTGAAGACTGCCGCATTACTTTGCATTATCTGAGGAAAAATACAAAAAGTACTGGGTCGTGCGAAGCAACGAAAAAAAACAGGGGTTGGTTCATTATTTATGGCGAGGGCTGGCATCGAAGAGAAAAGGGTTGGGTAAACAAAATTTGAGTGAGTAAAAGGTTGGGTAAATGAAAAAAAACAAAAAAACTCAAGGGTTGGGTAATAAAAATTTATTGTCATTTCCAAAGCATGACTCACTCAACTATTGAAGACCAACAAGCAATGTCAATAGTCATATGTCAATACAATATGTAAATCAATCAATCAATCAATCAATCAATCAATCAGAGTCACTATCTTGATCATTTTCCGATTTGTCAGGAGGCAAATGATGTCGCCATGTGCAGACAACATGAAACTTTAGTCTGTAGAAAATTGCACAATTATTAAACTCATGTCATAGAAGTGCCTTTAAATAAAGGACATATGTGTGACAACTGAATAGTATTTATTTTTTATTGAGGTTGGGTAAATTTTTTTTTACTTTTAATGGTTGGATGAGGAAAATTTTTATCAAGAAAAACATTTCTGTTCGGTGCCGATCCCTAATATCTACAACTGAATGGACAACGGCAAGATATTATCTATTTGTGATATACATGCAGCTCATTTGCTTCTACTCACTTTCTGCATCTCCAATCTTAAATCGGCGACTGTCACATTGCCATCAGCATGACGTAATTTATCTAACTCCTCCACAGTCTCCTCGCCAGCATCCTGAGAAATGATGGAATTTGTTTCATTAGGCATAAACACCAGTTCGCCAATTTTTTTCATTGGGCATAAACAAACGTTCGCCAGTTTTTTTCATTGTGGATACCGGATAAACAAACGTTATCCAAATGGACAATTCCAGCTATGGACAAAATTTTGATCTAGGCATGAAGAACAAAATCCATCACCACAGCTAGAAAGAGCATGTTAAAATTAGTAAAATTGCAAAGTTTGGTTGCGAAATGTTGTAAAATGAGGAAAATATAGCCCTACGAAATTTACAAATTTTGTATTAATTTGTATTACGCACGGGAATTTGTACCACTTTCGGCCCAAATGTGGTGCATTTTCCCGCGCGTAATACAAAATTTGCAAATCGTCTATATTTTCCTCATTTCCACAACATTTCGCAACCAAACTTTGCAATTTTGCTAATTTTAACATGCTCTTTCTAGCTGTGGTGATGGATTTTGTTCTTCTTGCCCAGATCAAAATTTTGTCTATACCTGGAATTGCCCATTCGTCTATGTAAGTATCTCACCGAAGACAGCTGAGGCAATTGTTCGCCTGGTTTGTTTTCCTCTGTGATAAAGTGAGCGCATGCGCGACCAAACACAACAAGATCAAGTAAAGAGTTAGCTCCCAGTCTATTCGCGCCATGCACCGAGGCACAAGCGGATTCGCCAGCAGACCAGAGTCCTTCCACAATTTTATCTTCACCATTTACAACGTCGATAACCTGAAACACAGTGAGAGATTTAATATTCATTATAGTGAGACAAGGAAGTTTTCCTTTAGCCTGCGTGGCAGGCCCTCAGTTTTATGCGGGGCCTGATTTGCAACGGGCAGGATTTTGTTTCCTAGCCTGCGTGGCAGGCCCTCAGTTTTACGGGGGGCCTGATTTCAGGTGTAAAAAATCGGAACATAGGAAACTGTTCCCAGGAATTTTTTAGGATCTACATTTTTACAGCGAATTACTAAATACCTGATTATTGAAATGATTGAATACTTAATTAATCTACTTATTATTAGCATGACAAAATTACTGCATGCTGATTGGTTGAGAGAAGTACAATTCTTTCATTAATTGTACCGCAGTACTGGAGTACAATTAATGATTTTCCCAAAACAAACAAAATGGCGGAAAGGTATTTTAAAAACAAACGTGAAATGAAATTGCCGTGGAGGGACTAGATACAAAAGCACCAAATTTTGCTTGAACAAAAGAACTAAATGAAAATACAAACAAAAGCACCAAATTTTGGTTGAAAGTCTTGCAGGACTGGGCTTTGGCGAGAGAATATGATGTTGACATTGAGAAGTACGTAACCAATTTTGTCATGATAATAATAAACAAGTAATCATGCGATGTTGCTCGTACAATTAGGGATTAATAGTACTCGTGATGTTTGGAAATTTACCAAATTGGACTCGCCCCGGCGGCTCGTCCAATTTTGGCAAAATTTCCAAACATCACTCGTACTATTAATCCTTAATTGTACTCGCCATCGCATGATTACCTATACTAACTCGATATCTAAATTACAGCGGAACAGTTTCATCAAAGATATTGATATAGCTGCAGTAGTAAATTCGTTCTTAGACCTGTATGACTGTAACTACTATCATGACTACTTCAAGATTTATCTTGGGTGCCTTGTGCCCCCTACCCCCTTCCCCGCCCCCACTGACACCGGGACCTATGACATTAGTAATATTAGGCACTAGACTTATTAAGAATCATGTTTACCTGTCCCTTATAGTTCGTGGGTACTCCCCCCATGTTATAATGTACTGTAGGTAAGACAGGAATAGGTTCACGAGTTACGTCGACACCAGCAAATATCATAGCAGTCTCAGATATTCCAGGTAAGCGTTCAGCCAGAAGATCTGCTGGAAGGTGAGACAGCTGTAGGAACACGTGGTCGCTATCTGGACCAACTCCTCTGTGAATAAAACCAAGTTTGTTGTGGTTAAATGGTTAAACAGAAAACAAGTTTTTCTTCACAATGTTCAAGTTTGTCTTCGCTATCCAGTATAACACAGGATCAATAAGAGATGATCCTTACTGGACCTCTAGGAAGAACAGTTTTGAACTGGTAGAGCTATCCAGTATAAATAAAGTTACGGTAGTTTAGTTTAGGTTCTCTCCTGTAGTAACACTGGATCAATAAGCGATGATCCTTACTGGACCTCTAGGAAGAACACTTTAGAACTGATAGAGCTATCCAGTATAAATAAAGTTAGTTTAGGTTTCCTCTTGTAGTAACACTGGATCATATAAGAGATGATCCTTACTGGACCTCTAGGGAGAACAGTTTAGAACTGGTAAAGCTATCTGGTATAAATAACGTTAGTTTAGTTTAGGTTTCCTTCTGCATGTAGTAACACTGGATCAATATGAGATGATCCTTACTGGACCTCTAGGAAAAACACTTTAGAACTGATAGAACTGTCCAGTATAAATAACGTTAGTTTAGTTTAGGCTTCCTACTGTAGTAACACTGGATCAATATAAGAGATGATCCTTACTGGACCTCTAGGAAGAACAGTTTAGAACTGATAGAGCTATCCAATATAATAAAGTCTAGCCCGGTTTCCTCCAGTAATAACACTGGACCATTACAACAAATTACCCTTGCTGGACCTTCAGGACAAACAGATTAAATACAGTAGGGTCTACCTTCCTTCTCTGATTTCTAAAGTCATGGATCGTGAGACAACATCTCTTGAAGCAAGATCTTTGGCAGTTGGTGCGTATCTCTCCATAAACCGCTCACCCTAAAGAACAAGCCATGCAAACACAACCTGTAGACAATGACAGTAATTGTAATAATGTTCAATAATGTACATAGACTGTGTACCTCACTGTTCACCAAGTACCCTCCTTCTCCCCTTGAGCCCTCTGTTATCAAGCAACCAGCACCATAAATACCTAAGCATGAAAAACAATTTTATGAGAATGAACTGAGTGGGGCATGCGGGAAAACAATGTAATGAGCTGTATGTAAGATACTGGAGTAATGTAACATACCTGTTGGATGAAACTGAACGAACTCCATATCTTCGTTGGGTAGTCCAGCTCTGGTGACCATAGCCGTACCATCGCCTGTGCATGTGTGTGCCGAGGTACATGAGAAATAAGCACGACCATAACCACTACAAAACAACATACTATTATGACTACTTATGTTTGAGCAGAGCTGTGGAAGTGGGAAGCAGGAGGTGGGAGGCAGGAGGTGGGAGGCAGGAGGTGGGGGACAGGACGTGAGGGGACAGGAGGTGAGAGGACAGGAGGTGAGGGGAAGGAGGTGGGGGACAGGAGGTGG